GTCAAATTACCAAGGTATACGTCGTGTAAATAGATTATTTTTTGAATTGAACATCCAGTCGTTACGTCTACGTTCGCAAGTTTTCAAACGAGACGGTTGACTCTGTGTACACCCCCTCTCCTCTCGTATCTTTCAATTCAGCCACTAATATGACTTTCATTGAAATAGTTTTTTAAATAAATTGTTATTGTACAATTGTCCAATTCGAATTAGACGCTAACAATAATTTCGATTTCGCCAATATTGCATCAGTTTCGGCGAAATAATTCAAGCTGACAACAAATATCGAAATTTGCCTTCAACTTATTATATTCGTGTTCAATCACGTTTATCTATCGAAAACTAATAAATATCTGTATCTATATAATTTAGTGTACATAGCGGAAATATCGTTTCATTTATTCACATATTTAAACAGTGAAATTATAGATTAAATTTAACTAAATATTTCGTTATATGAATATCCGTACAATTTATTTATGAGAATGAATATATAAATGATAAAGACGTTGAGCGAATATTTTGAAAATATGTAAAGCTGGACATTTCGTTAAATAAAATCGAACGATGAATAATGCATTACGTTTAATAAGCGATTTATATTAAAAGTTATTTTTGGACCAGTGGAATTTGTAACACTGCGGTGATTGATACATCATTAGCTATTATTTAAAACGTAAATAAATAAAGCACAGGGCGTTCACTATTGAATGACGAAACTACGTACTAAGCTGGAAAGCTCGGGAAAGCCGAATCATCGTGTACCGCTCGATATTTGTAACATTAAAAGAGGAGCAAGTTACGTGTGCAGTACCATGTGTAGGCACAGTCTCTCTTTGAGAGGAGTCTGATATGATACGGTTTTCGAACGAATCGTAGATACGAAAATGCTGTGGACGTACGATATTACGAAAAATTGTGTCATGACTCGTCGTTCGCGTATTTCTTATACGAAAAGCTGCTGACGCCGAGCCGAACCAATGTTATTCGAACAGACATTACGTACGATGCGTCCTAACCCGAAAATATTTACCTCGCCACGAAATCGACACGTATCGCTACGCGATATTCTCATTTTTAATTGAATCAGGCATAGCACGTTTGTTTATTTTTCAGTTCCCGGTCGGTAGAATTCATAGGCATTTGAAAAACAGAACTACGAGTCATGGTCGAGTTGGTGCCACAGCAGCGGTGTACAGTGCAGCTATCTTGGAATACCTTACTGCCGAGGTGAGTAGAGTATACCTGCGTGAAAGAAGAGAAAGAGAAAGCGTTGACAAAAGCAAGAGAGGACGAATGCGGGAGAGAGAGAGGAAGGCTGAAAGGGACAGAGATAGAATCGCAAATACGCACAATGGGAAGATCAGTCGCTATAACTATAGCTGGAGCTTTATACGCGTTGGCATCACTAGCGACTGATGGCGTCACTCGTGCCAACCCATCATGGCCGGTCTTCCCGCCTTTTTCGTCAATTTTAGGCAAATAATTAACAACATATTCCGCTTTGATATGCCACGTGTAATTTCATTTTTTTCATTACTTTTTTATCAACTCAGCGCAAAAGTTCATGTCCTATTTTATAGACTGGTCATATTTCATTGTACTTTGACATAGATGTTCGCCTTGGTATTGTTATGAGCTTATTGGCAAACATTACCCTCATATTCTGGAGTTTTTATGTTATAAGAAAATTGTATGTGCAGAAATGATAAACGCCGTGTGCAATGTATAAGAGAATACATAATATCAAAAGTTGATTTAATGTTCAAATAGTTCAATAAATGTTTTTAAAACATATCTTTACTCGTAGTATACTAGAACCTACTAGAATCGGAGAAATTAGATCTGAAAAATACCTTAAATCATGTTATAAATGGTCTGCCACTACTTGAGAACTTGCAAACTTTGCGAATTTTTATCTATTATAAATAATCGATGAAAAACATTTTGTTCGTACATTTGGACTGTGCTCCCGCTCTCTAGACAGTAAAAAATAGTTTGTTGGTCTGGAGTTTCTTTTAGTTTCTATGAAAAACGAATTCACCTGCTTGTAAAAAGGAGCAAGAACGTGAAAATTTTACTACAAAATGTAAATGATATTTTATTTCAAATCAGGCAAGATCTTTCGGACTGACGGAATATGTATAAATATTGCATTGATATGTTGAGAACATAGCGTAGAATGTTACATATGTTGTGAAAACGGTTGTTTGTTATAGGTACTTGAATTGGCAGGGAATGCATCGAAAGATTTAAAGGTCAAACGTATTACACCAAGACATCTTCAGCTCGCTATTCGTGGAGATGAAGAATTAGATAGTCTCATTAAAGCAACTATTGCTGGAGGAGGTACATATTTTAACGCTCTCATGGTGCAGTTCTTTAATGCAGCTATAATAACTTTCATTTTCTACTTTGTCACAGGTGTTATTCCACATATCCATAAGTCATTGATTGGCAAGAAAGGTTCACAAAAACCAGCATAATTTAGTGTCACATTTAAGAACATTTGAAGCTACGTAGATGAGACAGATGCGAGGCAGAGTGATTGTTGACAAAGTGTACCTACGTTACTAAATTGATGGCGAGACTGGGGAGTGATATATATATAT